CTTGCTGTCTTTTTGGGTGGATCAGTAGACCTTGCTGTCCTTTCGGGGGAGCAGTAGACCTTCTTGCTGTCTTTTTGGGTGGATCAGTAGACCTTCTTGCTGTCTTTTCGGGGGAGCAGTTAGACCTTCTCGTTGTATTTTCGTGGGGACACGACAAATCCCCATACCCCAATAAGATCTTTTTCTTGTATAATTCTGCATATTTCTGCAATGTTCGTGGATTACCGATTAATTTCTTAATCCTCATTTAACTTGAGTATCAGACCTTGGCGGGAAGCCTGGGGAGGGTTGGGGGCCCAAGAGAGCCTGATAGCTTAATCGTAATCAGTTATTGTTGTCGTTATTTTACAGGAGAAGTCGGCGGCAACATGGGTTTGTTACTTGGCTGTAGTCTGTTGACTCTAGTGGAGTTTATTGATTTGTTGTTCTCATTACTACTGTTGCGTTTTAAAGGAAACAATGTTGGCGTTCACTAAAAGCATTACAAGGCAGTTGCATCCATTTTCATAGCCATGCGACCAACTCAGCCCAAGATATCTGGGTTTATGGCTTCTGTCAATCAAATAATTATTTTTATGCGCGCAATATTACGGCCAAACTAGATCCAGAAGCTGCTCTGCGAGACGTCGCACTTGTTTGATGGAGAGAATCAACAACAATCATGTTTGGAATGAATTTGGTCTCTGTCGTGTCGGTTTAATCAAAAATTAATAATCTAAATAATAATATAATAGGTCCTGAGCATTAAAATTAACCCTTATTATTACACAACTTAAAATTCTCTCCATCAAAGGTGGGGAAAATACCCGCCACCTGAAGAGGGATAATACAGGATGGTGTAAAGGGGAAGGCGGTGGGTAAAAAGGATGAATCGTGTTCTTCGTAGCGCTGCTGAACTTGAGCGACAGAATTTAGCGAATGAGGGCATATAGCAAAACTGCACCCTTAGTACACTTTCAAGTCACATGTCGCAAATTACGTTTCACAAAGAGCACGTGGTAATCCTGCCATAGTCAAGCGGAAACCGCACTTTACCCCACCCTGTGATAATGTACAATTTTTTTTAAAGATAACATACAACACTAATGGGATTAGCGAAGGTATTAGCGCTGCATRAGAATCCCATTATACTTGGAGTATAATGTTTGGTTTTTAATCGGACCGTTGGACATTTTATTGAAGAAAGCCAAAAGACCAGATGTCTTGAATTCACCTTTTGAGCGCTAGCCGTTCTCTAGCTGCTAGCCAAGAAGTTCGGACATTGTTTTCGGAATAGAGTATGAATGTATTCGGAATAGAGTATGTGCTAACTTTTAAACATTTTTTTTACTCGGTTTGTTTAGTTATTTCTCTAATACAAGCAAAATATCATTTTTCTAACTCGATAGAAGCTTTTCTTCCTTTTTTTTTTTACTTTAGAAAGGTAACTAAAGATATGTATACACTCGATTGCAGAAACGTTGTAGTATACATTTATACAAAATATCTAATTTATTCAGTATATTTAATGATATGCAAAACAGAAAAATCGCTTTATTTATTGTTTGTTTCATTCAATGA